TGTAGATGGATACTCAAATGTTATTAATGAACAGAACATGGGTTCGAATCCTGATGAAATCAGATGAAAACAGTAAAGCTAGGGGCTATCTCCTTTTTTTCCCTTTTTTTTCCCCTTTTTTTAAAGCACCGCGATCAGTAGTTGTTTGGTGGACTAACAGCAGCAGGTGGACTAACAGCAGCACAAGGCAGAGAACATCGCCCCCTTCTCCCACTTCTCTCTTCCACTGCTTTGTTTACTTCCAGACTGTTGGCATCTTCTTCTTTCTTGACATCACTTTTTGCCCTGCCTTTTTGCTGCCTCTTCTTTTATTGCAGGTTCGTCCGTCAGCAAGTGCTTTTGCTTCTACCGAAGTACTCTGTGTGTGTGTGTGTGTGGGTTGCTACTGCGTGGGCTCGTTCGAACACACATGGGTTCGTTGGAACATGGGGTCAAAATGGAGGAGAGAACGACTCATGACTCATGATTGAGAGCTTGACGTGGCGTAGGACTTGGGGGATTCACAGTTACAAAAAAAAACAAAAAAAACAAACAAACAAACAAACAAACAAACAAACAAACTATTTTGGGTTTATTACTATGATCTTGAAAAAAACTCGTTCGGGTTTATTACTATGATCTTGGAGGGGGTTTCTGCGAAAGATCGGAATCTGGATAATCGCATATAAATTAATAAAATTATGACAAAAAGTGACTTCGGCCCCCGATCAGACAAGTACTGACGATACCTCGCTTCGCTTTTGCGTTCACATTTTGGATCTGAACTGCTGTGTGTTTGGCTTCTGTAGTAGGTTGACATGGGTTTCTTTAGACATACACTACGAGAGTGGTGGGTGAATGGTAGTTCCCTATAGAATAGAAACTGTTTATTCAGAGGTCAAAGGTTCGAAGGCGATGCGTTTTCCCTCCCCTTCCCCTCCCAGGCCCCCATCGTCAGACCCAAGAGCAGGTTTCTTTTGGATGGAAAGGCATGTATACCATTCAACTACAGATGCTTGCTTCTGCGGTGTTTACCGACTGGTCAAACTCTTGAAGCTCGCCGTTGATTAGTCCATATCCTGCTTGCTATAAGATTATCTCAGCCTCTGTGTTCGAGTCTGTGTGTGTGTGTGTATGTGTGTGTGTGTGTGTGTGTGTGTGTGTGTGTGTGTGTGTGAGAGAGAGAGAGAGAGAGAGAGAGAGAGAGAGAGNGAGAGAGAGAGAGAGAGAGAGAGAGAGAGAGAGAGAGAGAGAGAGAGAGAGAGAGAGAGAGAGAGAGAGAGAGAGAGGGAGGCGAGGAGGGGAGTGTGGGCTCAACATAGCAGAAGAATGAAGAGGTGGATCCTTCCTGAGCCTCAGAGATGCTTTGGAGAGCAGCACATGTGAGCACTGCGGCAGTGTTGTATTCCCTCCTACACACAATACAGCAGCATATAACTAAGAATATAATAAATGATGAAATCATAATAGTACAAAAAGTAAAAATAAAAAAATACGTTATTAAAAAAAATAAAAACATAAACATACATATATAACATATAAAGTAAACAATAATAGAAATACATAGAGAGGTGGGGATAACGACATGGCGTCGTCCTCGCTGAGGGATGTGGAGAATGTGCTGCGCGGGATGGCGGAAGCTATTCTGCGATCGCAGAGTGACGTCGACGGTGGCGCCGATCTGGATCTGGATGCTTCTAAGGAATTCGCAGAAGCGGTGAAATTTGGTCTTGAATGGGCCACAGATGCGGACGAAGAAGGCCTTTTTTTTTCTGACAAGGGGGGCATTATTTCGCCACCAGAGGCCTCATGCTCAAGTTCCAGTGCAGTACCCCCCCCTGTTTTGCAAATGCCCCCCTTTTTGGAAATGCCCCCTGTTCTTCCGAAGGGTGATCACAAAGTGGAGTCTTCCTCGCGCAGCCATGTTGAGGGGGGGGATCGATACCCCATGTGCTCACGAGTGCTTTCGCTGATCCATGAGGTTTGTTTGCAGCCCCGAACGCACGAAGGCGAGAGTTTGCTCGAGCGTGTTGCCTGGGATATCATGCAACCCTTGCTTCCGTACTCGTCCCTGTCCACCTCCTGTTGTTCTGCATTTGCTGCCATTGTTCGGTCCATGGCGGAAGAATGCAGCGCCCGGGAAATGTTCACACTTTTCATGGAAGTGTTGCATATGTCCGATGGCTACTCCTTCAGCCCGTGGCCTTTGCGCGCCTGCCTGCTGCAAGGATTCACTGTGCTCTTTCCCCGGATATCGAGAAGGCGCGCAGAGTTTCTGGAAGAGGCTTTGCCGGTGCTTACGAATCTGGCGAACGAGGCTGCGTGTTCGAGCGGAGGAGAGGAACAACAACAGGAGGAGCGGCGGGCAACGAGGACGGCAGAAGATGGACAGTCTAGTGAAGAAGAGAATGATGATGTGCTGCAGGAGGAAGCAGGAGGTGTTCGAAAGGTGTCTTCTGTGGTGGAAGGCGAGGTCAACCGGCGAATGAGGGAGGAGGTTCTCTCTGCCATGGTTGCTTTCGTTGAAATGCTTGTGAGAGATTTTTTCTTCCCTAGTGAAGGAGGAAGTCCATCTCAGATGGTCAGGTTGAAGAGGCTTACAGCTTCGCTCACCCTTCATCTTATCGGTGTGCTGAGTGTGACCACTGCTTCGGCGGCCTCAAGGACTGCCAGCGATCTGCCTGAGTGTGCAGCACCGCTGCCATCGTCGTCGTCGTCGTTGTTGCCGTCTTCTTCTTCTTCTTCCTCTAAAAAATGTCCTTCCGATCCCTCTGCCGCCCCCCCGGCCACGCTGGTCCGGCTTTATCGCAGCCTGTTTGCTTGTGGCTTCTCTTTTAACAAGCTGTTGTCTCGAAAATGGGTTCGTTGGTTCGTGACCGATGCGGATATTGCGGGTGCGGTAGGGGATGAAGATGAGGATGAACACGACGAAGAGGAAGAAGGGTGTGACGTCGAAGGAAGACGAAGAGGAGACCTGGAAGAGATGGGGCAAAAAAGCGTGTCCAGCGAGAATGATGACCAAGGTGAGGATGTGCTGAGTGATGATGATGATGATGATGATGATGATGATGATGATAGGACTGAAGTCGAGGTGGGCCAGGGTCTGGGTGCAGCTGTTGCTGTCTATCATGCATTTACGAATGACGAATGCGGTGCTATCTTAGGGGTGAGCAGTGCCCAATACCGTGGTTCGGGTGGGTCGGGGTCGCCGCCGCCGCCGTGCGTTCCAGTTCTAAATTTAGAACAGGCTGTTAGAGCACTGCAGTTGGCAAGACTCATGCTCGTCTGTTCTCCTGGGACCAACAGGATTCCAGTTCTTGCTCGGGGAATGCAACTAGTCACAGCGATTGGGAATGCTTATGCTGCAGGGTGCGGGCGCGGGAGAGGAAGGGCAGGCACAAACGCATGTCCGATCGAAGAAGGGAGAGGAAGAACTGCGAACTATTTGAAAACTGTCATGCCGGTCTTGAGAGCTCTGCAGTTTCCCCTGGTCTTTGCTCCACTTCCAGGGCTTCGGAAGACTGCGTTTGAGGCTGTAAGCGCGCTTCTTGGAGTTCTGCCACCGCGGCAGCGGTTCCGGGCAATCAAGATGGTGATCGATAGCTCTCCGCACGCGCCAGTTCGTGCGGTGTTTTTCATATTCGCGAAGGAGGAGTTCTTGCGCGCCTGGGACCTCGAAACACTGTCCGGTAGTGGAGGGAAATCAGTTGCAAATGATGTCTCGCACTCGCCGGAGATGATCCTTTCGGGGAGAAGTCGTCGTGGAGGGGTATCCACACCAGGAAAGGACATAAAGTTGTCGCCTTTCCTGAGGCCCGGTCTTCTGCAGCTTGTGCGCGACGTACTGCAGTGCGACGCCGGCAGAGGACTGGATGTCGATGACCTGCCCTCGGAGGTGGATGTGATGATCGGTGCGCTAAACCTGTTCCGTTTCATTCTCTTGAGAGAGATTTCCGCCGCCGCGGATCTGACAGGAGTGCGGTCGATGGGATTGCTCACGGAAGCGCGACAAAGTTGGTTGTTACCTCTTCGGCGCTTAGTGGGACTGGCAAGATCAAGGGTGTTGGAGAAAGAAGGGGAGGGGGGTGCAAATTGGGGATGCGCGGACGGACTGGGAACGGGTAACGCATTGGCTCTTGACATGCTGTTGGGTGTTGTGCACCGTGTTCTCGAAATCGTGGAGTCCGAGATCGACAAGAAACGGAGCCAAGGGGAGGACAGATAGCGATGGAAGTTTGCCAGAGCCAGAGAGATATAGGCGATAGTGGGCTTGGAAGGGTCGGAGATAGACAAGAATCCGAACCGAGGGAAGGACAGATAGCAATGGAAGTATTCTAGAGCCGGAGAGATATAGGCGATAGTGGGCTCGGAAGGGGCACCTAAGCTAAGAATGATAGTGATCGATTTGGAAGCTAGGGAGGAGGAGATTGTCTTTTGTGGTTCATTTCTGCACAGTTATCACGTGTGCTGACTTGGGGTAAGGGGCATGATGTGCGGGGTCCGGCGATCGACGATGACATGCGGTAAGCTGAAAGGGTACCCCCCTGTGAATAAGAAGGTGTTGGCTGCTGAAATAAATCAAATGGAAGTGCACTCAAACAGAGGGAATGGTGAACGTTGCTATGGTCGGGACCACCGGAGATGGTTGCATCTGGTCACATCTGGGTCCAGATGAGCTCAGATGGGGCCAGATGGGCAGCAGGACGTATTCTTCTATAGATAACATGTGATGCCAGGGTACCCGATGTTAGCAGAATGGTCCAGAATATAAGTGTAAATACTAAATATTCCAACACGAAAAAGAAAAGTGAAAAAGTGTAATTACTAAATATTGCAGCTACAGTCAAACTGGGTACTGCAGTGAATTGGTACCGCAGTAAAACTCGGTAGTAGAGCGGAACTGGTAAATAATACCCCACTGGCAGTTCTGCTTGGGAGCTAGAAGGCAGGAGGAGGATGAATAGAGGTGATCTGGAAGTCTACAGCAGTCTCGGAAACAGAATGTTGTTGAGGAGGAAAAAAATTCGCTTTGTTAAAGTTTGTTTTAAAAACGTTTTATAACTTTTATTTTGTTGTCTTCCTCGTTCTGATTTTCTAGCCTTGAATGCGGTAAGAGTGTATGCAGAGCACTCTGGCAAAAGTCTTTTGTAATGCAGCATTTTGTATTTTATTTTGAAAGGCTAATTCCATTGCAGTTCTTTTTTTTTTTTTTTTTTTTTTTTTAAAAATCCCCCCCCCCCCCCCCCCCTCCCCAACCCCCCAAAAGGGGGTTGCTTTGTCCCCCTTTTTTTTTGGGGGGGGGGGGGGGGGGGGGGGGGGGGGGGGGGGGGGGGGGGGGGGGGGGGGGGGGGGGGGGGGGGTGGCGAACGCAAAGACTGAGCATTAAAGCATTTAGCCAGTAGCTGCGCGACCTATCTTCTTCCGCCGTCCCCATAGAGTAACAGCAGCGTCTTTGGCGAGCACTCTCCCACACACCACATACACCACACACACCACACACACACACACACACACACACACACACACACCACACACACACACACGCACACACACCCCACACACACGCACACATGCAGTCCTCTAGGGTTGCAAGGTTGGTGCGAGTAGAGTGGGGACCACTTTTCTCTCTCAGGGATGGGTATTGCTAACTTTGAGCTATGTGGCGAGTCGTTTTATCCATCAGTTAAATACATCCTGGGCAGAATGTCTGTCCAGGTTCAACCTCCTGATGAGTGAAAGTCGGACGAAACAGTCTGTCTGGCACAGTCATGCTTTTTGTGAGTGTATAGCGGATATGACAACACAAACGCACGCCCGTGATGCCGAAAGAACCTACCAGTACCGAGCAGGCGGAGAAAGCCAAATATCTCAGTTGGTTGGGACCAAGAGTGCCACATGTGGGCAGCGAGCCCACGCCCTCCTGAATGCCGCTTGCGTGCCTAACCAACTGAGCTAGGCCGCTTGCTCTTTTTTTCCAGTGCAGTTTCTATACGAGCATTCTTTTCTTTTCGGTAGTTGCAGAAAGCGAAATTCAGAAAATACAAAATTTAAGGGAAAATACCTATGTTACCAGGGATGGCCGGCCGGGCGACCCGGGAAAACCTGCATGGGAGGACACCAAGAGGGGGGTCTTTTCTCTTCTTTGTTTTTGGCAGTGCAGCAATTTTGTGCCCACTGAGATGTGCACAAATCCAGCATTGAGCCTATCCCCGGGTGCTAGCAATGTCTGTTCTAATCAGCATCGCTAGCACTGGAGGGATCTGTTTTCAACACAAAAAAAAATAAAAATAAAAAAAATCCAGCATTATCTTTGAATTTGGTGATGTTTCACCAAAGGGTGTCAATGGGGTATAAGCTGGGTTCAAAAGGGCTCCATGGGCCTCCAACAGGGTTAAGGGAGCGTAAAAGGGGTATGATTGTTACTATGATATAATTTATTATTTTGTTTTTATTTTTGATTTCGGATTCCATAAACGAATTCCGGGGCGACCCTCAGCCAAAAGTTGTTCGATTTGTACTTCTGCATGACATAGTTCGTTTTTCGGATTTTTTGCTTTTATTCTAGTCTACCAGCCGGGCAGCCCGGGCCACCTTGTTTTCCCGGGCAGCCCGACCGTGCTAGGACCAAGGAAGGTTCCGGCAAAAGCAAAACAAAAAAAAAAAACAAAAAAAACTATGTTATGAAGAAAAAAATAAACTGAACAACTTTAAACATAGTCCTGTCCCTGTAGGCGGTCTCTGTGGCCTGCTGGGTGGACGTGTAGACCCACCACAGGCCCAGCTCTCTGCAACAGACTGGAGGACCGGGCTAATCGGCAGCGTTGTCCACCCGGGGGGAGGTCCGGGGGTCGTGGAGTTCGGGGGTCGGACCCCCCCTCTCCCCCCGAACAAAATAAAGAAAAAAAACTTGAAAAAGAGGGGGGTTTGCGCAGCGACACTGCACACCTCATGGCATTTTTGAAGTGCTGCGGACTTTGTTCGGCACTTTTTCTTTTCCTCCCATTTCGCTCACTTCCTCATGAGACCTCTCCCTTCCGCCTCTGGATATTCCCTGGCGCACCTTGACCTTCCTCCATCCTTACCTCGCTTGAGGACTATCACTCTCTACTGGAGCGATCTGACCAGACAGTGGTGAACCCCTTCCGGCCCTGATTAAGGAAGTGTGTGGGATGAGCCTCGTTGCATGGGTAGCTCAGGAGCTACAGTCTTCCCCCGAATATAACGTACGGTCATTATAGCTGTATCTAGACTGAAAGATGACTCAAATACAGCTATAACGACCGTCCGTTGTATTCGGGGGAAGACTGTAGGTGTGAGACTGTGAGTCTATTACTACCAGCCTCGTGAGTTGACCCAAGAGTACCCCTCTCGACAGGGGGTCTGTGCTTAGAGTGCCCGGCTTCGATCTACCCCAGCCAGTGTCTAACGACCATCTGGCCAAGGTCTTCCCTGTGAGCCGCCTCTACTCTAAGCATCTTCCCCCTACCTAGCCCAGTGTTTTTTTATTTTTTATTTTTTTTAAGGTGCTTGAGGTGCTGGTAAGTAAGAGCAATCACCTCTAGCACTGCCCGGGGAGGGGCTCCATCTATTGGTGGTGGGGAGCAGCACCTGCTGGAAAGCGGGTCCAACGTTCCTGAACATTGTCGTTGTTTGTGTGACTAAACATATCTACCTAGCCCAAGCCCAGTTGTTCGGCATGCATATGTATTTGCCTGTATAGGTCCGCACGATTCTGCATATCTATGGCCTGCTGCTTTATGTATCAATCTGTGCAGGTCTGAAAAGACTCTTAATGATTCTGTATAGCCGGTGTAAGTCTGTAGTCTGCAGTATGTGTGTATGGTCAACTCGTGTGCCGCAGTTGGGAGTTGCCCCCCTGGAGTCCTACCGTCTTCACCCGAAAATATCGAGCCCGCGAGTTGTATACGAATATAACGCCCGCCGGGCAGCGGGCGTTATATTCAGTAAACTGGTGGCAACTTCGGTGGGGCCCCAACGTTCCAAAAAAAAAAAAAAAAAAAAAAAAAACCTGAAAAAAAAAAAATATTGTCGGTACAGTTGTCCAGAATTGCCATGCGACCAGCTTTTGGCTGAGGGTCACGTCAGAATTCCGTAGTATAAACTCGTGGGGGGGGGCAATAACAAAAACTCAAACCGAAATATACCCCTTGGAAGTAAACCCCCCTTTCACCCTCCTTTAAAACCCATGTATACCGCTCTCCCCGCCCTGTAAAACCCATGTATACTTCCTCTACAAGGCGCTCTGCCCATGGAACATTCAAACATAACGCCCGGGCACTCTATTCGAATGTAACGCCTGGTCGTTATATTTGAAGGGGCCTTCTGTTTGAAAAAAAGTGAGTAAAAATGAAAATCTGATCTTTTAGGGTAATAGATGGAGCTTGTGTTTTTTGTCAAAAAAAAAAAAAACAAAAAAAAAAAAAAGTTGAAGATAATGCCAGGGCGGTATTTTCAGGCGAAGACCGTAGCCTTTGTAATGTGCGAGTCTGCATATGTCTTCTGCAAGTGTGTATATGTCTGTCATCTTCTGCAAGTGTGTATATGTCTGTCATCTTCTGCAAGTGTGTATATGTCTGTTGTATATCGTATGTCCTGTACCGCAGGATAGGACGGCAAACCCACAGCTGTGAGCTCAGCTTGGAAGAACACGAGACTTCAAAAAGCGGCGGGCAACTGGGTCTGCTGTTGTCTTCGCTCTTGTTGACTCCCGATGCATTTTTTGTTCTTCCTGCCTCCTTGGTATCTCCTTCGTACGTTCAGACGCGTATGCTTGTTGCTAGGTTTTCCTTGTTACCTCACTAAACGCAGATAGGGAGGGATTGGCTCCTCCTGTGCCGGCGTGGTCTGCTGAGGCGATGATGTGTCTGTAGTTGTGCCAGTCTTTCCATCTTACTAGGTTCAGCCCATCCAGCCCAGCAACTTTGCCTTCTACCAGCCACACCCGTTGGAACTTCGTGAGGTAGACACTTTTCTATTTTTCAAACTTTGTCAGGTTTTAACTTCGGAGTTCGAACACATCTCACCATTTTCAAGCCAGGATAACTCCGGGTTATCCTGAAACATGAGAGTCAGGAGGATACTCTAGGAACAGAAGGGACCAAATCTAGGCCGCTGTCCTGAAACCTCATTCTCCATTAAAAATTACGCCACAGGCCAGAAACACCGAACAAACCGAAAATATCCACCCAAAGCAGAAACAAACCAAATCTCTCTACCACAGAGCCTAAGGCTACCAACTCTATAAACTTTACGCCTCAGGCCTGAAAAGCCAAACAAACCGCAAATACCCCCACAAGAACAAACCAACCAGATTATACTACAGAGATGCCTAGACCTACAAAAGAAAAACCGTCTCAAGCGACGGGTGGACCTTAACGGACCACTGAAGCAAGATCGTACTCCCTCCTCTTCCAATCCCTCTGCCTTCCTCCTGTGGATCAACTGGAACCGAGTACCAGGTTCTTATTTACACACTTGTCGTAGACCAACTTCCCTTCCTCCAATTTTACCAATTTCCCTCCCAATCCCCAAGTTGCCTCGAACCAAGGCTCATAGCCTTTTCTCCTTCTATCCGCCTGAATGATTCTCCTCAGGGAGGATTTGAACAAGGTCCTGATTTCTTTATTTGTCATTTCTCTTTCTTCGAAAATCCGTAGGTTCCTTTCTTTCCAAATGACGTTACAACCTACCGCTCTGGCAGCTTGGGCCACATAGCCCCAGCCTTTCTTCAGATCAATGTGCTCTGGGATACCCCCCAGGAGTACCCTCTCCCTCCAGGCTCCAGCCATCCGAGGGGATGCATGTTTCCCCCCACCCCAACCATGGTGGTCAATGGGGTGGGTCCATCGGTGTCAGTGGGGGTCCTGGCTAATGCAAAGACCGATCATTTTGCCAGTCGCTGCGCCTCCCTTTTCATCGTCCATCACTCAATAGTGATATGCAAGAGTTTTTTTTTTTTTTTTCCTTTTTTTTTTTTTGTGGAAGAGCATGCTTCCTTGCTCTGAAAACATCCCTCCATAGCGTGGAGAGAACACCCTTTTACCCTTACGATATCAGCTTTCTGCAAATGGAGCTATGGATGCAGTAGAGTTCTGGATCTGATGCAAAACCAGAGCCTTCATAGTCCGCAAGCATATTGCTAGCGATTTCCAAGTCATTCCTTTGCCTTCGAAGAATCGAAAAGCATTTTCCGCAACCATTTGGTCGGTCGCCAGGGTTTAAATCTGTAACGCAGCGTCAAGAACCCCCCTAAACCACCACCCTTGTCAGTCTTCTGTGTGATTTGTTTCCATGTCAGGGTCTGAATCTGTAATGCAGGCCCGCAGGGTCAAGACCCCCCCTAAACCCTAAACGTCCCCTTGTTAGACTTCTGTGTGATTTTGTTCAATGCCACTCTAGATTAAAAAAAAAAAAAAAAAAAAAAAAAAGGAAGACGGATTGCCCAAATTCGTTCTTTATACAGATTATTGGCCGCTATCTCTGTGAATCTGTGAAATGTTTTGTAGATCGATTGTGGCAGAGCACATAAAATGCTTGTTGAGCCTTGTCCATAGCAAAAAGCCTGGAAAAGACACAAATGATAATTGTTGAAGCTCGTCAATATACCGCCACTCCTTGTGCTTTCGCCCATTAGCAAATTTGAAGGGGTATGAACCTCTGCACATAATAGGCAAGTTCTCAGCAGACGAATGTCTCCATAAAAGTTGATATGATACATCCAACTATCTTTGCAGATTCGCCGGGGGTGCGTGGGAGGACTGTAGGGCAGAGTATCTCAAAGGATCTCAAATAAAAGGATCTCAAATCAACTGTACAATTCGATATGGGACGCTGCGCCCCGTTCCCATCAGGTACTGCTCCCCACGAATAAATTGGAGCACTTGTTTTTCAAACAAACAAACAAACAAAAAAACAAAAAGGGCAAAAAAAAAAAGAAAAAAAAGAGAAAAAAAAAAAGAGAAAGGTTTTTCTATCAATCTACCTCCGATTCTGATGCTTGTGAAAGTTGTCTGAACCACCAGTCCAACGGCGTCTGCGTTGTAGATTTTATTCGTGTACAAGTGGCACTCGAAAAATCCACAGTACCGAGAGCCGGTAGAGGTTTGGTGCAAAAAAAGGCTACCTACCACCTTCAAATTTTTTTTTCCAAACACTGCACTGTGTAAAACATTTGGGCTCAGCAAAATGCATTTTCCAAAGGTTGAACTGGTTGCTTAAAAACTTGTTTGCATCTAGGCTACCAGAGTGGCCCGGGTCCACTTGCCCGTCCGGGCCAAAAAGAAATAAAAAAATAAAAAATAAATAAAAATCACTTTTTAAATTTTAATTGTTATTTTAAATTTGGTAACGAATTTCGATGTGACCCTGAGGCAAAAGTTGTTCAGTTTATTTTTCTGCATAACATAGTTTTTTCCCCGGATTTTTCGGGTTTTTTTTTTTTTTTTTTTTTTTTGCCTGGGACCTTAATAGTCCTTGCACGGCCGGGCCGCCCGGGAAAATAGGGTGACCCGGGCGGCTCGGCTGGTAGCCTAGGTTTGCATCAAACAGTCTGTGAGCAAGCAGCCCTGTGATTTAGCTAAATACGATGCGGACCGTTGTTTTTTTTTTTCTTCTTCTTTTATATGTGGAAGACCACGCTTCGTCGTAACGATACGACGCACAATTCCTGCGCATCCACAGTCGTCGTCTCTCGTCACACAGGTGCTGAAATCCTGTTCTACGTTCTTATCCTACGGCTAGGACAATCACAACCCAGCAGTCCCCTAAGCGCGCCCAAATGCAGGGGCCTACTGGTAGTATCATATTTCATGGAACAAGTTTCGGGGCTACCAGCAGCACCAGAAGCGAACGCGTAGGCAACGAGAGCAACACATGTGAACGATCGCCACTTCCTAACTGGTTTCCTTTTTCCTTGTCAATATCTTTTCCAAAGTTCCAAACAGAATACCCCCACATCTAATACTTCGAAATTGAGAGAAGTATCACAAGAAAAAAAAAATAAACAAATTGAGACAAGTACATAGCTTAAAAACCGATTGCTTGAATTTTGCTTCATAATTTTTCAAGCAAAAACCTGTGCTAAAAACATAACCAACATCCACGCAGCACGTACTCAAATTTTTCGCGCACTGCACCAACCACCTGCGGCGACCCCTATCGCAGCAATCTACCAGTGAGTCAATTTCGGCACGTCTGGGGAGTTGACAAGCAAGGCAAGTCAGCAAAAGCAACCGGGCCAAAACAAAAGAAAAAAAAAAGAAAGGCAGGTCAGCTATTTGAGCAGTTTGTCAGTGACTTTTCTCATATGGGAACTAGACCCAGCTTAGCTATACCAGAAAGCTTCATGGACCACAAAAAAATGATCCAAAAAAAAACAGAAAAGAGAGAGAGAGAGAGAGAGAGAGAGAGAGAGAGAGAGAGAGAGAGAGAGAGAGAGAGAGAGAGAGATTATCAGAAAAGCTTATGGATAAGAAAAAAAAAACACATGCCGCACAAAAAATCTCTGGACAAGAACATGGGCTCCATCATGGCCAAGTTCAGGGACACAACAATGTAATTAGAACAATGAGAAGGGGAAAAGAAAAGGATAAAAAAAAAGGGTAAATTCGTTACTAATTATTATTACTAATTATTATTACTAATTAATCCAACCAAATTTCAGAAACAAAATTTGTCATAAGAAGAACTGGAGAATTAATCCAACTATTCCCAAACGTCTTGGTGACTGTCTCACCTGGCTGGCCTCAGCAGCAAATGCAGCACTCAGCTGGAGTCTCGAGAGGATTAATACCGGGTGATGACGACAGTCGAATGCACCTGGCCCTGATGTGAGGAGGTGTACCGATACGACTTTTGATAAACAGATCCAGTGTTCAAACCCTGTGGATACATCAAGAAAAAAGCCTACAACAACCCTCACCCCCCACCTGTGCTACCTCCCTCACACCCCGAACCAGAAGGAAAAAGAGAATCCCCC